TTTTTCTAACAAAATGTAAATTTGCTAAAAAGGCAAAGGGAGGTAAAGGACGGGTGATCTACAGTTATGGGCCGAGTATTTAATTGCAGACACTTTTTCGATGCCTTCTGTTGCCTCTATTGACGAGCATTTGAAGTGAAGGTCTTTGAACTTTTCAATTGCAATATCCCTTCATATAAATGAGTTTTGCATTCGTTTTGTAAAAAATAGTTTTTCTAATTCTTAGATAATAACAAACCTTCCATTATTTTTGCTGTTTTTGAAATTATATCAAGAGTTTGTACTTTAAATGCTAATTTTAAAATAAAATAAATATACAAATCTTTACACCTAGGAACAAACAACGAAACTTACATAAATTGTTTTTATACAGTATTTATATATAAAGTATTATCTAGAATAACACTATATTTTAAATGAATTAATTTAGCAAACTTTTAGAACATAGGTAACAATTGTACAAATAAGAGAAACGTGTACTTAAAACGACTACTATGTATATCATTAATTGATTGAATATTGTAGTGCACATCATATGAATAGTGAAATCAATAAAATAAATATTAGCAAAAAAACACTAATTGTTATGTTATTGTAATGAATGTATGGGTTCAGTGCTCTTAACTTTCAAGCATTTAATTGTGAATTTATATTCAAATGTAAAAACTGTCAACAAATGCTTTCCAACATGTTAGAAATATATTTTTTAAAACTCGATTTACTAAATCGTTTGATCTATAATGTTATAAACTAAATAACAGATTGTAATTAAAATTGAAATAAATCATGTTGGATCGATTGTTCATGATTATACAAAATTTGTTAAATCTCAATGATATACGAATTACTGTTATACAATCATTATTTGTAATACAAAATATGACAAATGCTTTGTTGCAAATTATGGACTCTATGTTGTAATGGATGTCAGAAATAAAACTGTTAGAAACCAAAGTCATGTTTAATATAAATGACATTTTGTGTGAATATGAATTTTCTGATCAACTATTTGCCTGAATTTGGTTTTCTTTAAAAATAAGCTTTTATGCAATGTATGTATTTCTAGAATATATACATTTTGTGTTTAGAAACTAGATGTTACGGAATTGTATGTGGATTGTTATTGTATTTTAAAGATTTTGTCAGACGTTTCATTTGTAAAAATGTTGATATTATATAAATTAGAAATATATTACTTTTGAAGGTTTTTGTGAGCTATTATTACTGTGTATTTAATGTGCTAACAGTAATAGGAGGCAACAGGAAAGCCATATGAAATGTATTTTAAAATAAAAAAATTGATATGATTTGCAGCAAAAAGAAAATGCATTCATTTAATTAGTGCTGTCTGTGATGTGGGAGAGAATACATTTGCAACCAAAGGTTTCAATTCAATGACAAAAAACATACATTTCATATAATTTAAAACAATTTCAGAGCATGTGATCGAATACTTTAAACAAGTTTTTACAAATATTTTATTATCCTTTCATTTCATTTCTATATATTAAAAGTAAGATCCTTTTAAACATTGGTTTGTTTTTACATAAAGTATTAATTCTTGTTTAATGAGCTTTTATAATACAAACCATTTTACTCTATAACATTCAATTTGGAATCCCCTAATAAATAGTAAGCATGTTTAATATGAAACTATTAATATATTATGAGTAATCACTATATCATTATAGATGACAACTGCCGGTCATTCAATGGCCTGTCATATCATATTCCGAGTCTAAACAATTAAACACCAAGAATTTGGTTGCAAAGAACACATGAAAGTTGGATCCATTTAGAGTACAGTATCTGTTCTCTCAACATATCAAGAACATACAGCATCATACTGTATTGTACTGTACTGTACTGTACACTTAATACAGTAAACATTTATACAATTAATACATATTTAAAAATGTTTCTATTTAAAATATTTTACAAGTATTGTATTAATTAGCATTATGAAGATTCTACATTGTAGAATATGCTATTCAAACCCGACTTAAAGATATCTAAGGATAATATTTCGAGTCAATTGAAATATAACCTAAAATTCAAAATTATAATTTTAATTTAAAATGATTAATTTTTAACTGTACTAATCTAAATTTCGACCATGAAAAATAATATTTGTAATATAATTAAAATAAAATAATGATATATAAATACATAAAAATTAATATAAATACATCAATGTTATCAATTGCAGATATCATAAATGATAGTAACATAAACTGACAACTGATCAAATATCACACACTTGTTTAATTTATATTTAATTTTCAAATTATTTCGGATATAATTTCAAAATGTTTTTTAGAATATCTGGACTTTTATTATGTTATTTCAAATATAATATAATATCAATTGTGCTATAGTTTGCATCAAATTTATAAATTATATTATGATTATTTTGGCGCAACTTTTAGCAAAACTGTTAACTTTATGTTTCATGCATTTGCAAAAGAAAAAATTGCACCTGTTATTAGACTGTACTGACAACAGGTGCCAACATTTGGGTTTAATTTTAAAAATATAATTATTGATAGACTTACAAATGCAAATGCAGGCCAGATATCTGACGGCATCGTCGGGTGGATCACAGGCCGGGAATATTGGTCTCAAAGCATAGAAGGAGAACGTGAGCGCAACTATTGCCTGAGAACACGGCCTCACAATCATGCCTTCCCATCCCATCCCACAAATCAATTGCATTATTATTTATATAGACATTTCATTTATAATTAATAATTGTATCAAAATTTTACATTCAATCCAAAGTCTGATGAAAGCGAGGAAAGGACCGAAAGACTCCATAATATAAGCGTAATCGGCGCCAGTCTTAGTGATCATACAGCCCAACTCCGCGTAACAGTACTGACATTACAATTACATTTATATTATTAACATTTCTATAAAATTTAGTTGACTTCAAATTGTTTATTCGATACATACGGCGCCGATCATCGAGAAAACACCGCTCGTTATCCAAACCACAAGAGAGAGTCCAACGCTTCCGGTGTTTTCGAGCACTCCTTTGGGCGAAACAAAAATTCCGGATCCGATGATTGAACCGATTATAACTGTACACCCGTTTAATAAAGTCATTTTGGGCTTCAGACANACCACAAGAGAGAGTCCAACGCTTCCGGTGTTTTCGAGCACTCCTTTGGGCGAAACAAAAATTCCGGATCCGATGATTGAACCGATTATAACTGTACACCCGTTTAATAAAGTCATTTTGGGCTTCAGACATATCACATCGGGGTCTTCTGTCGGGGGTTCGGGAGTTTTGGGGCTCTCCTTCTCAGTGGTAGTGGTTTGCGGGACTTCACTATATTCTGTTGTTTCAGCCATTCTGGTGTTTAAACTGTTTAAAAGTACAGAACAATAGTATTTGTAAAAGAAAAGCTATTATTAGATGAATATCATTGAATTACCAAAAAGTAATTTCATTAAATATTATTTCATTCAAGAATTAAACCGATTCTTGAATTGAGATAATTTAAAAAAGGAAATGAGTGCCGATTCCAACAGATATGATCACATGTGGATTTACACTACAATATACAGCAAAATATAGTAATAAGGGTTATATTGTGTATTGAATGCAATGAATGCATGCAAAGAATCAGATCTGGAGTTGTGCTGAGCATGACTTCTATCTTTACATTTCATGTTTAATGGTTTGTCAGCGAAGCCAATGTCGACATGTATTTCGCAATTAGAGGCGCATGTCTTGTGTCAT